TTAGACTGAGCGAGTTAAAACAACGCCTATTCGCAGGATAAATGTACCGCCTGTCATGCAGTGGCGCAGCCAGGATTTCGTTTCGGGGGGTCATCGCCTTCAAAGCGGGCCCCCTAGTGTGCGGGCCCCCCACCCATTTTTCAGAATCTCCATATTTCATACGCATTCTGCTGAGCGGGCCCCTTTAACTGCACGATAACCCTGGGCGAGTTTGAATCAGAAAATTTGGATAGAACCATAGCTCGGTAATCACCCGGTGTTCCATTTTTGCGCAAATTGACCATGACAGAAATATGCTACTATGACGTATGAATTCGTATCTTTCGAGGCCGAAATGTGCCCCTTCCGCAACATGTATATAGCATATAGGCAATCGGAACTGTTGCCTGCTTCTGTCGGACAAGATTTAAGTAGTCCCATGTTTACGGTTTTATGTTTTCAAATATAACCTTATGTTCAATGATTGCGAAATGCAAAAGGTTCCAAAATTAATTACAAAATTAATATATTTCGGACACTGTCCTTCTTCAGTTCAGAATTGCAAATTAAATCATTTAGTGTTGTGACTAAATGATTTAATTTGCAATTCTGAACTGAAGGACAGTGTCCGAAATATATTAATTTTGTAATTAATTTTGGAACCTTTTGCATTTCGCAATCATTGAACATAAGGTTATATTTGAAAACATATATATGTCATAATGCTGTCCATACAAGTACTTCGCCATTTACTTGTCGTTCACGGTTTTCTGAAAGCTTATGAGTGGCGACTGGCGGCTCTTCCACCAGCTATAAGCTGGTTGTTTCGTGGTTCTTGACTTAAAGCTAAACTTCTGATTCTCAGACAATTTATGATCGATCACACTTAGATCACAGGGATGCTTCTACCGGGATAACACAGATATCTCTGTGTATCATTCACTTTACCACCAGGGACTGGCGACTTGCATTCTGTATAACATAATAAGTCTTTATTCTTATTTCTTTACGCGCTGAAAGTAACCACCTGTGTCTGGAACCATGATATGATAAAGAAAAAATATTATGCCAAAGCTAGATAAATTAGATGGGCCCCGAAATACAGGGAAATATCCAAAGAGCTTGTTTTACCTTATTTCATAACAACAAAACTATCTGCAAATACGAGATAGCGTCCTTAGCAACCGCCCATAGCAACGTGTTTGTCTGAACCACGCATGTGGAAAATTAAGTAGATACTGGATAAGTCGACTAGAGTTTGGTCAAAACTACACTGAATTTGATTTCGAAATGGCTTTTTGTGAATCAAATGTAAAGTGACTTATTATTTCCTTTCAAATTTTCATACTATTAGAAAACATGCTTGTTTGCTCTATATTTGTAAAGAAACAACTGCAAGGACGAAATATAACGACAAATTCTAGCAACTTGTTGGTAGGAAACTTCGTCCAACCTTATGTTTTAGGGCCTTGGCCTAAATCAAGCAAATTGATTTAGGCCATTTTATTTAACAAACAACAAAGCTATAGGCCTGACAGCTCTTCCCGCGAAACCTTTTTTTGGGTCGAACATGACAGAAATGACGTCACTCTGAAGTCATTTGCGGCCAACCTATCAAAGCCTTTGGATTTTTTTTTTTTTTTTTTTAGTCACCATGTGCGCTAGCTACTCCCTGGAGGGTACTTAAAATTTGGTGACGATCGGCGCAGCGGTTCTGGAGATAAAACTAAAAAACTAATGAGTTTCCCTATATGGCGGCGGGCTGCCGGGTTGCCACACGGCGAACTGGCTATTTCCACTTTTGACACACCATAGTGTGCGTGTGTTTTCCAGACTGTCCTGATCTCACGGCCGGCAGCCTGAAGCCTCTCACCAGGTGCCGTAGGCTGTGGTTCCTATCAGTCACCGCCGCCGACATTCCGCTACTGAGGGGGCAGCTGCCGGAGGGCCTCGAGTACCTCAATGTCAGAGGTGAGATAACGCAGGTCACACATGTAATGCCGGTATATGCAAATGGACAGCGGAGACTGCCAATTAGGGTGTGTCGATAGTCGCAGATTCGCGTTAGACAAATATATTATGTGGCGCGGGCATGCCAAAACACTAGCCCTGCAGTTGGTTTTGCGTAAAAATGCGATTTGACGAGGCTCGGGCAGGTCGAAGTTACAGCGAAAAAGTCGCAATCGACGGTGCTGCCACCTACATTGCCAATAACGGGCACTATCATATCGTGATAATTGGGGTAGTTTCAAATGAGAAATGACTTCTATTTTTGTTCAAACTGCTTAAGAAGAAATAAAACAATTCGGAAACATACATTTTTCCCAAATATCGCGTTCCATTTTTTCTTGTTGAGTTGTTAGGAAAGTGGTAAATTTCAAGGTTGACGGCTAAAAAACGAAACAGGAGGAACAGAGCAGGAATCACCAAAACGTATGCCGCGCCGATGCTGTAGGGGAAGGTGGGATAAGACGGCCCAGCGGGGCAAGACGGACCACCAGCCATCCCGGCTGAGCCGCTGCTGATATCTACTGCTTTATGCACTCACTATTTTTGTTTTCCTTCGTAACAATGGCCACCTTGAGCTCATGCTGCTAGGATGCATAGCTTTTGAGTTATTGAGAAAAATGTTGTTTTTCGTCAAACCGATCTAATATAAGAGGTCTACGAGTGATTTAATTATGGCGACTTTCTTGCATGATTAGTTTCTATGTTGCACTTAACTGTGAAGAACAAAGTTATAAACTTTGTTATAGTCACACTTTAGGAAAGGCAAGGTTTTGCAATGTTGGGCTATTTGACATATACGTCATGATAATGACAGAATTTAGATTTGGGGCAAGACGGACCACTGTGGTCCATCTTACCCTGTGGTGGTCCATTGTACCCTGCATATGGAAAGTTCTTTTCCAAAACATTGACACAAGTTTAAGTAAGCTAATTTTTCAGGAAGGAGTCTTTGTTGCATGTGAGCCATGCATGCAAGTGCTCAGTTAGCATGCATTCATGCCAAACGCCAATCAACACACATGTTCCCAGCTTTTAGCTGCACTTCCATCACACATGAGTAAAGAATAAAGGCTCATTTTTTTATTTTACCATTCTGGTTACTTTTTTTTAATTCGTGCCTTTTTCTTACAAGAGTACAGAGCAGAAGTGTAACACACATGAACGGATAGCAGGCACTGCTGGGTGGTCCGTCTTACCCCACGTTTTTTCTTGTCTGAGTTTTTGACATGTCCCTCTTTAAGAGCATCCACCACCTAGATGTCTTTAATTTGAAATTTAGTCTTTACACACATAGCAACAGAGGGAGGATTGAGCATTCCGAAGACTATAAATAATATGAATTACGAGAGCAGTGTAGCAAGATATGCGGCCTCAAACCTTAGCTGGTCCGGCCTACCCCACCTTCCCCTAGATAAGGGGTGAGCAACAGAACCAGCATACCTAACGATTTTGATTAGTGATAGACATTTTTCTCTAAATGAAAGACTATTAGTAACTCAGGCAAGCCTTCTGATATAGGTATTGACAGGGTTGCGGTGAAAGGTACACTGAGAAAAATAAAAACTCCCTATAAAAAATAAAGGGAGTTTTTAAGGGTGTATACACTCTCTAAAAGACCCTTTTACGGGTCACATGACTCTTGAAAGTGAGTTTTGTTCCAATGACGACTCTTTTCAAGGTGTATTTTCAGAGTGTCAAGGAGAAATAGGGGAGTCATGGAGGGTGTCAACACCTTATCCATTAAAGGGTGTATTTTTGACACCCTTTAAAAACCCCCTTCACAGAGTCCGTTATATTTTCTAGGAGTTTTTTGTAGGGTGTCAAGCGGATGAGGGTGTTTTAAGGGGTGTATATATTAAACCTTTTAAAAGGGTGTATTTTTGATACCCTATAAAATTCTCTTTACAGAGTACAATATACTTTTAAGGGTATTTTATAGCGTGTCAAGCGAAGACGATGGTGTTTTAAGGGGTGTATATTTTGCCCCCGAAAAAGTGTATTTTTGAAACCATACAAAACTCCCTTTACAGAGTCCATTAACTTTCGCATCATGGGCGGGGCATTTCTCATAACACGGAGAGTTGGGTTGATACGACCCCCAGTACGTATACCTAGGATTCAGCTAAGGGGGCAGAGGAATCCCGGGCCCCCTCCACAGAGGACCCCCTCCAAAGAGTCCCCTCCACAGAGGGCCCCACCCATGACAGAAGGCCCTCACCTATGAGAGGGCCCCCTCCACTGAGGAGTCAGAGGGGCCGCGGTCAGACACAGACACCAGCGGCCATCCACAGGCGGCCCCAGGCAGCAAGAAGGACCCTGCAGCTGTCAGTCCGGTCAGAGGGCCCCAGGGCAGGGGCGCGGGAACTACTTTCAGACTGGGGGGGGGCACACCATAATAGAGATCAGCCTGGAGTACCCCCAACTCTAGTTTTCTCACCGGTTTAAGGCCACTGATTTTTCGTCCCTTGGCTTTGTCAACAAAAAGGAAACATTTGCAAAAAAGTGCAGTATTTCGTCTCAAAGTTGTGGGCGCACCGCCCCTGCACGGCCCCAGAGTTTGGGGGGGGGGGGGTAGCTGCTATGGAGGACCCCGACCGTCCCACCGTGACCCCAGGGACTCCCGCGAATTTCCCTAGACTCTGACGCGACTCCGGCCAACGTGGGGCCCCCGGCCCGCGGGGCCCCGACTCCATCCCGGGCCCCGAAAACACTGTGGGGGCTCCGGTCCACCCCCCTTTAGTACGTCCCTGTTTTCGCTTGCTTTTTTAGCAGCATCTGTCGTCTCAGTTGTATTGGCCACATGATGGTTGCATGTGACAAGCGCTGAACTATTTGCTGGCCAATTCCCCCCGATATTATTGGCTAATTTTTAGCTCTACCTATTTGAATTTACATTATAATTTTAAATGAACTTTTCATTTATATTTATTTCAAAAATATTTTATAATTTAAAGTGAGATATATGGTAAAAGTCATAATTTATTTAAAAAACATTTGTTATATCAGGCGGCGCTGCGTGACGCTAGTTTCCGATTTGTTGTGATGGATTGTGTCGCGACACGTGTTTGTTGTGGCGGGTTGATCGAAGAATGAGATCTATAAGATTGAACCGCTGAAGAAAGGTACGTATTTCACTTGTCATGCTATTTGTCCTGTTTTTTTTTTCGCATTAGATCAAGATCATTCAATTCGCCTGTCAAATGAATGTTAGGTACGCCGCCTCTCAGTGCTGGTGCCAGTGCCTAGACTGGAAAACATCCATACACTACGCCGGACGCCCGTGAGACCCTCATGTGCCGAAATTCGATGCAAGCAATTTTGCGGTGAAATTTCTGCATCATTTGCCCTGAAAGTTGGGTGCCTACTCAGTGGCGGATCCAGGGGGGGCAAAATGGGCATTTGCCCCCCCCCAAACGGCATGATTTTAACATTACGCCTATGGACGATGCATGGAAAGAATCAATAAATTTTTATGGTTTGCCCCCCCAAACCTCTGAGCTGGATCCGCCTCTGTGCCTACTTGTGCCGAAGTAAGCCACTTCTACATAACAATAAAGCATGTGCACATCTACCTACCGACGAAGGCTATATCAACCAGGAATGTTCTGGGGCCTCGGACGCTCTCCCCTGTTTGAGAATCTGAATCAGGTGATGTTCCCATGAAGACCCAATACCACAATGCGCGTGTCACACTAGCGTCATGCTGTGGCAAGTTCAGACCCTCTTCAGACCAGTTCGCAGGGCTAGTCTGCTGCTAGATTGACCAGCGTGCTGAAATATCTGGTGACCACCATTCGCAGTAAAATTTGGTAAATGTCAAGATAAAGTCCTGAATAGATTTCAAGGATAATTTTTTCATATTCTTACATTATTTGACATCCTAAATCCAAAAATGATCTTATATGCCTAGCAAATAAAAGAAAAAATCAAACCTGACCTAACCTTACCTACTTACCTATACTTGAAAAATACCTAAAATTCTGCTGCAGCCCTGCGCCAAAAAATTCAGCGGCCACCATGCACTGAATTTGGTGCATGTGAAATTATGCCAGACATGCGCTCAATTTTTCGGCGCAATCCCACCACTACGCCGGAGATATTTGGCATAATGTGTATTTTCCCAGTCTGGCTCAGTGCCAGAATGTGACATGGTTCTTATTTAGTTTAGAGCCTAGGGTGCAAAATGGCTATTTGGTATTGTAGTTTTTTTTCTTCAAAGTTCGACCCTCATTGTAAGCGTCTTTTGAACACAGCATGAAAATTGCTGACTGATTTAACTGAGAAAACTGGTGAGTGCACTTTGTATCAGTATTGGAGCTATGAATAATAATTTCAAAATAAGATTTTAACAATGATAAAATGCTCTTATGTTAATCAAAGTGTGGCTTACCAATAAGTATCCCTGCAAGGTTGTAAATGTAAATACGAGATGCGATTCTGGGAAAATAGGAACCAAACAGTGACTCAAAATTACATTTTTACTTGGGTGTCAGAGGGGAAAATTATTCAGTGGACAGAGGAAGAGGGTGGAAAATTTTGGGTCCGGCAAACCTAAAAAAAAACAGATGGTGGTAAAAATGGAAGGAAAATGAATTGATAGCATGCATTTCCTCACAAATGCAGTAGGATGTACCTTCTAATGTGTGAATCAATATGTTGTTTAGACCATCTATGGAAATGCTCTTTTTTATTGAAGTTGAGAGTGGAAAATTGTCTTCTTTTGAATGTCATTTCCCACAGAAATCAACTAATTCTAGGACACTGGAGTCTGGAACCAGGTAGAAATAATTTTGATTTAAGTTGATCGTCTGTGAAATAAATGTGCGCCATCCAGTTTTCTCAGTAATTCAGCCAGCAATTCTCGTGCTGTGTTCAAAGAGACGATTACAGTGATGGTTGAACTTAGTACATATACAAAAGGTCTGCATAGGTTTAACCCTATTCCTGGCGGGGGGGGGGGGGGCCTCAGGAGCCCCCCCCCCCCTGAGGTTTTTTGGTTATTTCTCCCAAACGCGTTGAGCTAGGAAGCTCAAATTTTCTGACTTTTCCTAAAAGGCTTCTACGCAACAAGTCTGAAAATTTTGAGTTGATCTGACCTCAGGTCAGGTCACCAGAGGCGGTTTGGTGACCCTACCTCAGAAAAGTTTGCAATCACGCCAGAGCTAGAGTTTTTGACCGATCAATTTCTTCTCTTCAGGCTTTAGTTAGGGTACCAGTATGTGCAATTTGTATATCTCGGAATTTTGATATCGGTGACCTAAGGTCAGGTCAGTTTCGCGACCTCCCCATTATAAGTCAAATGGGGGAAAAATCAACTCCCTGTTTTTACCACTAAAACGGGTCGGAATGGCCCCATATACCATACATGACTTCATATACGATCAACCTTCACTACCTTGAGGTCTGTTTTGCTGTTGGGCAGCTGTGAGGTCATGTGACGTCATCAAAGGTCACCAAAGGTTTTTGGCCAATAACTCCGTACAGGAACAAGATACAGACGCGTGGATGGTCTCATTGTGTTAAGCTCGTCAAGACGCATCGAATGATATACATGATGACCTCGAGGTCACGTGACCTGAGGTCAACCTTTGACCTTGACCTTGCGAGGTCAACATATATATCATTCGATGCGGATTGACGAGAGGATCACGATGATGCCCTTAGTTTGTTCCTATCTTGACTAATTCGAAAGTTATTCGAGAAAAACTCCATATCTAGCGCCGCCATTTTGACTTTTTCGACCCCTGTGACGTCATCTTTGACCTGACCTGAAAATGACCTTTGTAAAAATTGTAGATCTTGACCGTGCGTATCTGATGCCGTTTACCGTTTGTCGCTATCTTGCTTCGTTCTCGAGATCTCAGGGGGGGGGGCCGAATCGGCCCCCCCCCCCCGCCAGTTTCTTGTCCCGGCGGAGCCCGCCAGGAATAGGGTTAAGCATGAATGAAGTATCCATCCATGGCTTAAGGTTGTGAGGTTGTAGGTTGGTGAGTTGTAGGTATGTAGGTTGGGTATTACTATAGCAGGCATCTTACATGCTGCCAACTGTTTGAAGAAAGTTGCTTGGCTTCAGTTCTTGAGATACTTATATGAAATTGATCATAAAAGTCTCCTAATTATTCATTTTTTAGAATTAGGTAAACAATCAAACTTCACCTAAGCTTACCTTCTAACTTACAACCTAACAAACTACAAACCTAACATCTACAATGCGTAGGTAACTTAAAATGATATTCATGTAAATGTCTCAAGAACTGGATCATAGAGACTTTTCACAAAGTGTAGTTTAGTTTTCAAATGACCTTTTCCTCGATAATTAATTGAAAATGCAATAAAAAACAAATATTATATTGTTTGGCAAATTTTCGAACGCAGTTCATTCTCAAGCCACATGAAACAATTGACAATTGTTTCATGTGGCTTGATAATGAACTGTTGTTCGAAAATTTGCCAAACAATATAATATTTGCTTTTTATTGCATTTTCAATTAATTATCGAGGAAAAGGTCATTTGAAAACCAAACTACATATATCAAGATGTTCCTCGCTAGAGCACTGCATACTATTTCTTCATACTTTTCACAAAGCATTGACTACATGTAAGATGCCTGCTACACATGTACGTTAGTTTATGCTTGGGTAAATGTATGAAGGTTGTGACTGACAAAATATGTAGACTTTGATGATGTCACTGGACATATGCTCCTAGTCCTCCAGTTTCCTTTGACTAGACTCAGTTTTATGCTCATTTATGTCAGTCTAGTGTCTACACCTTTCTAGGCGCAAGTTCAAAAAGGTAAAGACCAAATTCAAAAAGTTTATGTTCGAAATGCACGTGAACGTTTTGAATTTGGTCTTTAACTTTTTGAAATTGCGCATAAAAAGGTGTAGATGTATTCTTTTCTTTTTTTTTACTTATTTGTATTTGTTTCAACATTCCCAGATCTGGAGTATGCTGTCAAGATTGGCAGGAAATCAGCGCAATGCGAGTGGGCACCTCCCCATTCTGAGTGTGCTGAGTGGCTGGAAATCCCAGCTGTGACTGCTGCGGGAGCATGACTGCTGTCGGCTTGAACTGCACACCGTGGATGCCTGGGCTAGGTATGTATACGTGTTGGTACAATTTCTCACTGCCTTATCCGGATTAACCCGCGACCGCCTGGGGGGGGGGGGGGGTTGGATCCGACCCCCTCCGTTTTTCTTGAATAACTCAAGAACCGCTTACGCTATCAACTTGAAACTTGGCATACCTTCTTCCCCATCAATTTGATGTCTTCTGTGTAATTTTTAAGAAAAAAATTTCAATTTTTTTTAGATATATCGATTTTAGTGATGTAACTACATGGCGTTTTTAGTCAAAAAGTGGTAAATGTTTAAAAAATCGCCAAAAATCAGGGTTTAAAGCAATTTGCAAATTAAGGACATGAATAAACGCAGCTTAACGAGTTCTTTAAAATGGCTATCTCGGATTTTCTATAAATTGCGTTTTTCACCCCTAAAAATTCAAAAAACTACATTTTTTGGAAGACAGCTAATAAAATCCAAAATTTTGAGAATTTCCAAAAAACCGGAATATATGTTATAGAGCTCTGTTAGAACATTAGATGTCCCAAATTTCAACTTTCTATCTTGATTTTTGACCCCCAAATTGTAAAAAATAGCTCCAACATGCATAGGGCATGGTGACGTCATAAGCATTTTCGTGAATTAGAGGCACTTCTGAACATCGCATGTGAAAACAAATGGCACCACTAGATTCCTGTGACAAAGCTCGTCTAGAAAAGTGCATTTTTATGTCAAAAATAAAAAGTTGAAAAATTGACCTTTTTTCTCAGCCCTCGTTTAGTTATGTATGGTATAAACGATTTTTTATGCTTTCAATGCACACTTATCACCAGCACAGTGACTTGGGGTCACATATAACCATTACCATCGGATTCGGCGTGAAAAATAAGCCATAAAACATGTGTCGCACGCCCATGTAGCAGAAAGTGAAAACCGTGACCTTTCGTGACCTGACCTGACCTTGACCCGTACTTAGTATGACCCCTATACGCACATGGTACCTTCACTAGGCCTTTGAGGTCATTTTTGGTGAGTTTCGAGCAGCAGCTATCGATTCCGCTGTCCGTAAGCCTAATCATGCAAAACCCCAGAATTTGACCTTTGACCTGACCTTGACCCGAAAGTTGACCTCAATCTTAAAATCTTAAGAGTGCTTTGGGAAGGTCTCGTAGAGACCTTTCGAACGCCGCCTCGCGGGGCTCGATGCGACCATTGGTTCTCGAGATAACAGGGGGGGTCGGATCCGACCCCCCCCCCCCCCCCGAGGCTGTCGTGGGTACGGAAATAGCCCAGGCGGTGCCGGGTTAATGTAATAGGGACAAACTGCTCTTCCCCCAGCATGGATTAGTTGCTTCAGAATAGGAAGTCACATCAACAATTTTTATTTGAGAAAACTGCTTTTAAATTGATCTTTCAACCTTCAAAACTGTTAATGAGTTGGCATAAAAATGATGTCCCATCAGGGGGTGTGGAGCTGGAGCTGCCGGAGCGGGCACAATTTGTCCGGAGCCGGAGCCTTGAAACAATATAGTCCGAAGCCGGAGCCGTCAAAGAAGGGGCAATTCCGGCTCTTTTTTTTAAGAGGAAAAAAATAATTGACCTAGTTCGGTTTGGCAGTACAAGGCAGTAAAACATGTGGTACGTCACGGGCCATCACGTGAAAAAAAAACTGAATACGTATCCCCAGTGTTCCACAGTACGCAATCAACCTCCCAGTCCTGTCTGCTCCTCCATCCCCACGTCTACTGCATGCCCAGAACCTGAGGACCGGTCATCAGGTGACGGCCATTGTTTCGCATAAGGGATGTACTGAGTCGGAGCGGCGGAGCCGGCCCATTTTACTCTAAACCGGAACCGCCATGACATTTCACCCGGAGTCGGAGCCGATTGTTTTCTCCGAAGCCGAATCCGTCTCAAATTTCCACGGCTCCGCATCCCTATGTCCCATGGTTCAGAGTGAGCAAAATGAATATCTACCAAATTTAATTTAAAAATATTCACCGGGTTTTAAGATATTAGACAATTACTTTTCTTTATTATTCGGAGGTACACTGTACCTACGACGTCATTTGGACGCAATAATTTGGTATCTTCGAAGTGCGGCAGTTGTTGCGCGCGCAGCAGCATATACCACCACTGCTTTACAAAGAAGTTTATATGATATTTTGAAATCACTAGATCTGCGCTGACGTCACACATTCAGAGGGGGTATTCAAATGCATTAGCTCCTCTTAATCCAAAGTACTGCAACTTTGAAATTAAATATTCTTGATTTAAGGCGTTTCTCGATGTTGCGAGCGCCGAAACCGGTGATTGTGAGCCAGGGATCATAATTTGGCTATCCCAAATTAAAAACTAATAAACCTCGGTCGAGGGGAGGGGGGTGTTGCCCCCCCCTCCCCCATAGGGTTTTATTTTGCGATAGCTCCAAACACGCTGGTGATAAGAGCTGAAACTTGGCATACCTGACCTTTGATTCAAGCCGAATCTTTTGACACCAACCGCATCTTCAGGTCAGGTCAGGTCACTGACCTATGACGTCATACGTGAACCTCTGCACGGTCTTCAGATGTCGCAACTTCGCAACGCCCTCAGTGCCAGAGGAGCTTTCACAGGGAGATGCAGCTTTTAGGACCTAATATCCATCAGAGGTCTCACAACTTTCGGATTTTTCCTAAAGTTCACATGAGGTCAGGTCGGTCACGGACCTCACCATTACAAGTCAATGGGGAAAAATGAAAACTGCTATTTTGGCGCCGGGAACGATCTCAAACTAGCTCAACCACACAGAATCGTGGTTCCATGCACTCCTTGCAAGTTGCGATGCTTCACTTTTGCATTGTTGACCTTGCGTGACGTCATTTATGACGACACTAGGGTCATTTCATTATAGCCAGGGCTGCGGAGTCGGAGTCGGAGTCGGAGTCGGTCGGAGTCGACAGTTGTGACCGGAGTCGGAGTCGGAGTCGGAGTCGATTTTAGAAACCCGAGCCGGAGTCGGAGTCGGAGTCACCGAAAATCTGTCGACTCCGCAGCCCTGCTAGGTCTGCGGAGTCGGAGTCGGGAGTTGGAGTCGGTCGGAGTCGACAATTCTGCCCGGAGTCGGAGTCGGAGTCGGAGCTGGTTTTTGAAAGCCGGAGTCGGAGTCGGAGTCGCCGAAAATCCATCGACTCCGCAGCCCTGATTATAGCTATTATTTAATAAATATTGGCGTGAAAATTCCTAGAGTTAATCGTCGGCATGTGTTTTCTAAAGCAGTTTGATGGCCACCTGTATTCCTAATCCTCTCATTCAAAGAAATCGGATCTACCTTAATTTTATCTTCAAGGTTAACCCTAACCAGAATTCCCATTTGACGTCGCGCTGGTTATCGGCGTTTACCATGTGAGTGTTCAGGACATTTTCTTGTCATTTCCCTTTGTTCGGTTATATCCTTGCCCCTTGTTGTCACGTTCACTTCAGTGCTGAAGGCCTGGCTTTACTATGCGTTTTCTGCGTGCGTTTTTTGCGGGTTTGCGTTTGTTATAAATAATATAACTTTTACATTAGTTAAATACAAAAGTTATTATAACTCTTACATTAACTAAAATTTAATATAAAAAACATCACAAAAACGTAATATCGTTGTTTTTTCCAGAACGATATTACGTAAAATACGCAAACCCGCAAAAAACGCACGCAGAAAACGCATAGTGTAGCCAGGCCTTTACTTGATTATTTCTCCCGGGCGACACAGGATGCATGGTGTACTCTAAAACGACTGTGATATTCCCCTCCTTTCAGATTTGGAGCTATGCCAGTATTTGGCTGAGGCTTCGAAGTGTTGGGGCCTTGGAAGATGTGACGCAGCCGTGTGAGGGACGGCCGGCCATCCTTGAAATCGACGAGATCTTTCAGCTGGATATAGAAGACGCTAACATACATAGTAGGTGAAGGCACGAGAAATACGCTTCTCCTATGACAGAGGCGCCTTTTCCCTTTCTGTTTTTCATTAGCGCTTTCACACGAAAGTGAAATAGTTTTGTGCTATTTGTTAAAAATGGCCAAAAAATGCACTCCTTGCAAGTTGCGATGCTTCACTTTTGCATTGTTGACCTTGCGTGACGTCATTTATGACGACACTAGGGTCATTTCATTATAGCCAGGGCTGCGGAGTCGGAGTCGGAGTCGGAGTCGGTCGGAGTCGACAGTTGTGACCGGAGTCGGAGTCGGAGTCGGAGTCGATTTTAGAAACCCGAGCCGGAGTCGGAGTCGGAGTCACCGAAAATCTGTCGACTCCGCAGCCCTGCTAGGTCTGCGGAGTCGGAGTCGGGAGTTGGAGTCGGTCGGAGTCGACAATTCTGCCCGGAGTCGGAGTCGGAGTCGGAGCTGGTTTTTGAAAGCCGGAGTCGGAGTCGGAGTCGCCGAAAATCCATCGACTCCGCAGCCCTGATTATAGCTATTATTTAATAAATATTGGCGTGAAAATTCCTAGAGTTAATCGTCGGCATGTGTTTTCTAAAGCAGTTTGATGGCCACCTGTATTCCTAATCCTCTCATTCAAAGAAATCGGATCTACCTTAATTTTATCTTCAAGGTTAACCCTAACCAGAATTCCCATTTGACGTCGCGCTGGTTATCGGCGTTTACCATGTGAGTGTTCAGGACATTTTCTTGTCATTTCCCTTTGTTCGGTTATATCCTTGCCCCTTGTTGTCACGTTCACTTCAGTGCTGAAGGCCTGGCTTTACTATGCGTTTTCTGCGTGCGTTTTTTGCGGGTTTGCGTTTGTTATAAATAATATAACTTTTACATTAGTTAAATACAAAAGTTATTATAACTCTTACATTAACTAAAGTTTAATATAAAAAACATCACAAAAACGTAATATCGTTGTTTTTTCCAGAACGATATTACGTAAAATACGCAAACCCGCAAAAAACGCACGCAGAAAACGCATAGTGTAGCCAGGCCTTTACTTGATTATTTCTCCCGGGCGACACAGGATGCATGGTGTACTCTAAAACGACTGTGATATTCCCCTCCTTTCAGATTTGGAGCTATGCCAGTATTTGGCTGAGGCTTCGAAGTGTTGGGGCCTTGGAAGATGTGACGCAGCCGTGTGAGGGACGGCCGGCCATCCTTGAAATCGACGAGATCTTTCAGCTGGATATAGAAGACGCTAACATACATAGTAGGTGAAGGCACGAGAAATACGCTTCTCCTATGACAGAGGCGCCTTTTCCCTTTCTGTTTTTCATTAGCGCTTTCACACGAAAGTGAAATAGTTTTGTGCTATTTGTTAAAAATGGCCAAAAACTGAACGCAAGGTCATGTAGGTCATAGTAGTCTTCTAGCCCAGTGAGAGTGCGTGCGAGACTGAGGGCTGTTGCCAAATCATAATCAAGACAGAGCGCGGAGCGACTGTCCGCGTCTATCGAGTGCGTCTCTTGCAAATGGGCTAAAGGTCTGTGCATGTACATGTGAAGCTGCTCTGCGGTCGGCGCGATTGGTTATAAATAAATTGACTTGCATTCAATTGAACTCTTTACATTTTGAACTCAGCTGATGGACATATATTTTGGATGGGTGTAATGTATATATATATGGATGTATATATATATATATATATATATATATATATATATATATATATATATATATATATATATATATATATATATATCTATATCTATATATATATATATATATATATATATATATATATATATATATGGGTGCTTTTCTGCCTTTTGAAAATGTGGTGTACAAAAATTAACTTACTCCTTTAAGGGAGTACTTTTTACTCTTTTGAGGGAGTATTTTTTACACCCTCTGACGATCCGGCAGAAAACCACTCCCAAAAAAATCACTCCCTAAATGGGGTCAAATGACCCCTCGGTAAACTCCTATTAAAACTCCCTCAAACGAGTAAAAAATATCCCCTAAATAGGATAAAAAATATTCCCTAAAAGGAGTCACCTCTCCTAGGGAGTATTTTTTACTCTTTTTAAGGGTCGTTTTTACTCTTTTTATAGAGTATTTTTTACTCCTTCTTTGGAGTTTTGATAGGTGTTTATCGTGGAGTCATTTTGACCCCATTTAGGGCGTGATTTTTTTGGGAGTGGTTTTCTGCCGGATCAAAAAGGGTGTCATTTTTTTTCTCAGTGTACAATCGATGGCACATTACAATTATTCTGAGTTGGGAAACAACACTCTTCAGATACCTACCATCAACAACCTCACTATCTCCTATATGGGAGCTATATCATCTGATTCCAGCACCCTGAAAACAAACAGTTTATCACCAAAAATCTCTGTATTAGCGCCTACCGACATATGCTGAATGACGCTATCAATACCCGACATTTGTAAAAGGTGATTCGCCACACACCCCGCCGGCGTCTGAGGGGTTGAATCAGTGAGCCAGATTGCCAGCGACTCACCGCTGAACTACCGGGGTCCGGGCATAACAAAACGGACGATGCGACATGACTCAGAGATCATCACAGAACAAACGACAAATGTAACCGAAGGCCATCTGAGCTCGTGCGGAACCCTCGTTCAGATACGTAATATCGCTATCTGCCACCTCGCGGTTCCCTTGTCAAGCCGAACTGATAGGCGGCGGAACGGGGAGGGCACCGCGGCACCGTGCCCCCTTTGATTTTGGCATTTTAACATTAACAAGAGATGAACAGCTCCATCGCCACTGGCACGATACCGGCTCACTGGACCGACAGTTTCCTGGTGCCCATCCCCAAGCCTTTCAAGGACCACCACACGCTGCAAGGCTACAGGATCATCACGGTGCAGAACATCGGCGGCAAGCTGGTTGAGGGCCTGGTGTCTAGGGCAGACATTGAAACTTTTTATTAGGTGAGGTCACTTCAAGTGACCTGGTGACCTGACCTTGAATGACCTTGGTCTGAAATTTTAACAACATGTGAAGATTTGATGCATGATAAGGTGTACCAAAAACGGCGGCGCTCCGCGCCACCGTTTTTGAGATATTCGCGAAAAACCACAAGGGGGTGTACAAACACCCCCCAGCAGGGCGCGGGTTAATTGAAGGTATCCTGCCGCTACTGGCTGAACTGATGACACGCAATGGCCAATGGTCAGTCACAGCTCAGCTTCCTGCGGAACAGGAAGACACATTCAGAGAGAGTCGGTGGTCATTGACTGTGTCAATATTATTGACACGGTGACTAAAGAACGGTTGTATTGCGCCAATAATGTTGCCAGTAGCAGCACCACCAATCTTTTGAACTAAAATCACTTGACATCGGTGAGAAGAAACCCTCTAGCTTTTTTTCAAGCAATACGCGAAATAGAGGGGATTAGAAAAACCGAAAACCCAAATATTAGCACTAGATAACATCGATCTTAAACTTTGACCAACATTTTTAAAGCATACATCAGAGGAGCTGTTGGCGGCTTACCGTCGCGTCTGTGATGATCTCTGAGCCATGTCGCATCGTCCGTTTTGTTATGCCCGGTAGTTCAGCGGTGAGTCGCTGGCAATCTGGCTCACTGATTCAACCCCTCAGACGCCGGCGGGGTGTGTGGCGAATCACCTTTTACAAATGTCGGGTATTGATAGCGTCATTCAGCATATGTCGGTAGGCGCTAATACAGAGATTTTTGGTGATAAACTGTTTGTTTTCAGGGCAATGGAATCAGATGATATAGCTCCCATATAGGAGATAGTGAGGTTGTTGATGGTAGGTATCTGAAGAGAGTTGTTTCCCAACTCAGAATAATTGTAATGTGCCATTGATTGTACCTTTTACCGCAACCCTGTCGATACCTATATGCTTGCCTGAGTTACTATAGTTCGTTTTTTTTTCTAAGTTCGACCCTCACTGTAAACGTCTCTTTGAACACAGCACGAGAATTGGTATAGCTGACGGATATAAAAAATCCGAGATATACAAATTGTAGGCGCCCATAACAGCATGCAATCCACCAAGTTTAAAACCTTTCTGACAAACACTGCAGGCTGGACATGATTGCAAACTTTTTATGCTTGGTCAGTTAACTTGACCTGGTGACCTGACCTGACATGACCTGGGGTCAAAAATTTCACAGATTGTCCAAAATTGATGTACCAAAAGCTACCCTAAGTGGCGCGGCGCTACGCGCCGCGGTTTTTTTATTCGCACGCAAAGCGACAGGGTGGTAACATATGCCCCCCCCCCCCCACTGGGGCGAAGGTTAAGATCGATGGAAACCCTCTGAAACCAATGGCACCCTTAGCACTCATTAGGTCGATATCTCCTAAACGGCTGGAGATATCGCCACCAAACTTTCAGGACCCCTCCGGGCATCAATTTTACACATTGTGACCAAAACTTTTTCCAGAGGCTGTGATAGATTGGCCACAAATGACGTCAGAGTGACGTCATGTTCTGTCATTTTCGACCGAAAAAAGACCTTCGCGAGAAGACCTGTCAGGCCTACAGCTTTGAAGATACAGAAAAATGATCAAGACATAAAAGGTGTAAAATTGACAGGGCTACAAAACTGCTATCTCGGATTTTTGACCACGGTCAGGTCACGTGACCTGACCTCGCTGTGACCTGACCTGGTATCAGTGACCTCAGATAGCAAAGTATGTGTTTGACGAACAATATACCATCGATGGTTTTCAATAAATTACCAATTTACTCGATTTCACAGCACATTTCTTGAATTGCCTGTGAACGGTGAAAATCTGACCTTTGACCTGACCTGTGACGTCATCGGTTTGACCTAGGTCAATGAAATTTGGTCACAAGGTAGTTCCCGGGTAGGGCTATCAAACGCCGTTTGAATTTTGAAAATCGGCCGGTAACTTTCCGAGATCTTAGGGGGGGGGGGGCCGAAACGGCCCCCCCCCCCTACGGGTGGTAGGGTCCGCCGGTAGCCCTACGGGGCGCGGGTTAATTTACTATACTTTTGATTTACTAACGTTCTGGAAGCAGGGTAGTACTGGACTCAGGAAGTTTATCGGATTGTCCATTATTCACAAACAATCACGGCGACAAAATTTTATTCAACTCAATGCTAAATTGTTGTGATCTGACTCAACTCAGACTTAACTGCTCCAAAGGGACAATGCCACCCATGTAAAAGCGGGAGAACATACCTATCTGAGGCGTACTAAAAATGTTCATTACTCTTCACTGGACAGCGGACATCCTGACCCGACACAGCGGTAACTTTCTGAAAATAAACATCTTGCAAGATATTTTGAGGCTCAATGTTTTACAAGACACGCATTCTTGTAATGACAATCCAGGATAATAACTTCATTCTACATTATGGAATATAAACTTGTAAAAATTTTAGGTCCCGGTCTTTCAAGGTCAGGTCACCAGGTCACGTCAAGTGACCTGATCTCAGAACAAGTTTAAAGGCTCGCAGTAGCTACATCGACTGAACGATCGCTTTAAAACTTTAGGCGATTGATAAGAGTAGCAGTATGTGTAAAATTTATATCTTGGAATTTTGATATCTGTGACCTACGGTCAGGTCACTTTTGCGACCTCTCCTAAACCAGTCAATGGGAGCCAGTCAATGCGACCAGTCAATGCGACCAGTCAATGGGAGAAAATTGAAATGTGCCTAATTTGAACGAACATAGGCGCGGGAGCCGGGGGGGGGGGCAGGGGGGAAGCTTGCCCCCCCCCATTCTGGGGCCGTGGGGGCGTTGCCCCCACAGCTTTGAGACGGAATATCACACTTTTTTTGCAAATGTTTTCTTTTTTGGTGAAAAAGCCAAGAAATGAAAAATAAGTGGCCTAAAACCGGTGAGAAAACTAGATTTGGGGGTAGGGGAAGGTGGGGTAAGACGGACCAGCTAAGGTTTGAGGCCGCATATCTTGCTACACTGCTCTCGTAATTCATATTATTTATAGTCTTCGGAATGCTCAATCCTTCCTCTGTTGATATGTGTAAAGACTAAATTTCAAATTAAAGACATCTAGGTGGTGGATGCTCTTAAAGAGGGGCATGTCAAAAATTCAGACAAGAAAAAACGTGGGGTAAGACGGACCACCCAGCAGTGCCTGCTATCCGTTCATGTGTGTGTTACAGTTCTGCTCTGTACTCTTGTAAGAAAAAGTAACCAGAATGGTAAAATAAAAAAAATGAGCCTTTATTCTTTACTCATGTGTGATGGAAGTGCAGCTAAAAGCTGGGAACATGTGTGTTGATTGTCGTTTGGCATGAATGCATGCTAACTGAGCACTTGCATGCATGGCTCACATGCAACAAAGACTCCTTCCTGAAAAATTAGCTTACTTAAACTTGTGTCAATGTTTTGGAAAAGAACTTTCCATATGCAGGGTACAATGGACCACCACAGGGTAAGATGGACCACAGTGGTCCGTCTTGCCCCAAATCTAAATTCTGTCATTATCATGACGTATATGTCAAATAGCCCAACATTGCAAAACCTTGCCTTTCCTAAAGTGTGACTATAACTAAGTTTATAGCTTTGTTCTTCACAGTTAAGTGCAAAATAGAAACTAATCATGCAAGAAAGGCGCC